ATTTGTAATTTATGATAATTTATTAAAAAATAAGTTTCACCTTACGAATAAAGTAAAAGGTCGTTACAGAAACTTAATTATTACAAAATTTTCATGATGCTGTTTAAACATTTTACATTATGAATAATATTCGGAAAGGCTTTATTGATAATAGGCGCGTATTTTAGGCTAGGCATGTATTTAGAATTATAAAGTTTCTCTCAGTAAGGTAAATAAACACTACGGGTGAAGAGTTCTATTTGTGTGAAATTAAGCATTTTATGTCCTCCTGGTCTTGGCCGTATGTTGGGGGGGGGAAGCTGAAGATGCTGCAGCCCTCTCGAAACTGTTTTCAGTTTATAAATAAAATGCAGATAGATAAAAGTCATATCCTGTCCAGCCCCGGAAATTAAAGCCGAGCTACAATCAAGCTTCTTGTAAAGTAGAAATTACGTTGAACAAAATCATTATGATTTACGAATTAGAAACAAAAGATGTATTTCTTTTCGTAAAAAATACTAATTACAGTGTGCGAATACCAGATATCTAAAACTAAACTAAAAATGCTCTTCATCATAAAATGTTTTATTTCAAAACAAAGAAAACATTGGTAAGTGATTACACCTTCAGCTAAGTATTAACTGTAATATTTCCCCGTGGAACCTTTTTGAACAGGATTAATAACTTAAAAGTAAACAGTTGTAAATATTAGAGAGATGTCCCATGTGATTGAATTGTTCCCTTCGACGCGTCAGACTGCTCTTACTTTTTTTTTGGGGGGGGGGCACGGGCTATGTGTGTTCTGAGGTAATGATGTTTATCGTTATACAGTGTGTGCAACATTATCAAAATCATGTTGTGAAATAAAAGATTAAGGTACGATTAATTTATATATTCAACTGAACTATGGCAAGAATAATTTTTTTGTTACCTCATTACCGAGAGCTAGAGCGATTGAAAATGGCACATTCATGTTAATTTTAGAATTTAAAGAGTGTGTAGGGTGCTTCTGTATCTAGAAGCTAGAAGTATTTAAATTAACATGCGAGAAAATTAAATATCAAAGGCTGGTTACTTAGCTGAGACTCCACATAAAGTAAAGCACTTAGCTTATCAGGACTGGTATTCCTCTTTACTTGCCTTGGAAACTTGAACTGTCCTGACTCGAAACAGGGAGCTTACTAAAGCTATGTTCAATAAATTGTGAAGTAGACAATACACACAGGAAGGGTATACGAAACCCTTTTTTTTCTATCTTTACAGAGATTTCCGGACTTCGGAATACAGAGACCACTTGTGGTCTGAACGTAAGAATATAAAATATAACTAAACTCAACCTAAACTAACTTTGGATTAATATACAAGTGCCTACTTTAAGATGGCCGTTATTAACAAAAGCCGTATGTAGTACAGAGAGCTGCTAAAACTACGATACGTTAAAATTATCAAGAGATAAACTCTGGCCTTGAAGGCAACCAGCACGAGTAAAACTACCATGGCAAGCGGCCTGCATCTAATAACTCCTTCCTCTCTCTTGCTTGGCAAAAAGCCACAACTTAATTTGGCGTTAGCAAGACAAATTTGCAAAAACAAGTTAAAAGCTTTTAATTCTAGCCGGAAGTAGAAATTAAGAAGTGATAGTAAAGATTTAAAATAAAATAAACGTTAGTAAAACTAGGATCCTTACAAGCTGGCCCAAGATCGTTAATGCAGCGTATTCAAACGTCGGCTTGCAAGATGGCTAAAATCGGGCAGAGCTGGAAACAGTAACACTAAGACGAGGCTGCCAGCCCTCAGCTTAAAAACACAAACAACTAATTTGCATTCTGATGAGGACTATGTAAAGAAGAAGTTATGGTTAAGGTTTAAATCATAATAATTGGTTAATTTACATGAAGTACCTTACAGCTGTAAGAAAAATAATGCATGAAAAGGAGACGCAATTGATGGTAAAGAAGAAGATGAAAAAGATTTAAAAAATCAACTGGAAGAGAAAGCTAGACCCATTTATTGGTAAACACGAATGTTGAAAAGCAATTCTGGGAACACTCTGAAGGTGCAGTTCATGAAAATAAACAGTTATTTTGAGTTGACAAGTTTAATTATTTAAAATCCTTAATCCAAAAAGGCAGAGTGATTTAGCGATTAAAGTTTAAAAGAAAGATTTTAGGAAAACAAAATTACAGCAGAAACTCAGATCACCAACGCCTCACTTCACAAACAATTCGTTTCAGGAATAAGTTTTCTGAACAAAGAACGCCACGGATGACGAACGGTGTCTCGAGTTCCCAACACTCAAGTTGGCAGCGAATGATTTTCAAAGGTATTTTGAGATAACCCCATGCAAAATAATTAAAACTAAGAACTCTCTGCAAAAATCATTTTAATATTTTTCTTTGCTTATCTCTCGTTAACAAAGCCTTGGCAGCAAAATAGGGTTGATGCTTTATTAAATTATGATGTTGAAGAGTTAGCGGTCGATATAAATGGCTCAAAATATTATGATGAGTATATTACATTGATCTCATGAGTCTTAAAGCTAGCAACTTCCAAAAATCGAAATTAAAAAAACCTAACGAGGAATCACAACCAACTACTGCAGTGTATCAACGTACGGTCGTGGAGTCAGTGTACCTCTGATGCATAATAAGAGTGGCATTATGCGGCGCTGGTGAGCTGTGACGTTCTGCAATAGTAATCGGATTGGCTATATCTCCCAGACGCCTCCCGACTCTTAACCAGTCACTATCACCAGACAAACAAAACCGAGACTGATCGCTAAATGGCACATTGTGCCATTCAGTTGGCCAAGTTGACGACACTATCGCAGTCTTTCGCATCGATGTCAGTTTACGAACATTTCGGTAGACGAACGGACTTTGTGAAAGAATAAAGTTCGTAAGCCGAAGTTTTTCCTTTGATAAACGTCGCATTGAGTTTCATGATGCAAAATATGGAGTTTCACCAATAGTTATGATGAAACATTTTAAATTGTCCAAAAACAAAGTATTATACTCTTCCAATGCTTTCAAAATAAAGATAACTCAGCTTGTATAAATAGGGATATTTTAAACTTCCAAGTTATCGAATAATTAAAGAAGTTAGGCTCGAAAGTTAACTGAAGTTAAAAACTAAAAAAATTAAAATAACTATTAGCCGAATCAAAATATCAAAGCAGAAATTAACTAAAATAAAATGAATCATCGCGCTGAATTAATCGAAAATATTATTAACCGAGATAGGATGGATACCTGAAGTGTAAATAACCACCGAGTGCATCTGTGTTCTTTCGCCTTTCCTTCTGAAGAGTTCAAAGGTTCTTTCACTTCAAAGCATTCTTTTGAGCATGCGCCGGAAAACGAAAGCCGAGATAATTTTAATCACATTCTAGTAACGGTTTATCTATCGTCTGCTTTTCTCGGAAGTTATTAATGCAGAACGTTTCAAATGGGCGTTTTCTATAATACAATGTAGTGCTTTATGGTTTACTATGTATTTCTTCCAGAAACAGTCTTCTTTTTTTCTTTTACTTTCGAGCTCAGATACTAAAGTAAAAAGCTGACTGGAAAAAACAAAATTGAGGTAAGTATATTTTTTTCCATTGTTATTTCTCAATACTTCGAAATTGTTCTCCTTTTTACTGCAGTAATTCGAATCTTGGGCAAAATAGAGATATTTGCTGCAAGACCCCTGCGTAAGCCATTCATTGGGAAACGTACCTTGAATAATTAACAGTTTTTTTTTTTTTTTTTTTTTTTGTGTGTGTGTGTGTGTGTGTGTGTGTGTGTGTGAAATTAATGAAAAAATACCCGTGTGGCTTTAAATAAGGAAGGAATAGTAAGTATTTTAGGAAATTTTTGCTGTCATTTGGTATTTCAGCTTTAAAATAATTGAATGTTTTAAATGTATAATTTTGTGTTTTATAAATTGAATTTCTAGTGAATACTTCTTAAACTAGCGGGGTTGTCATAATCGTTTAGCTTAAAATTGGTTCGAATTCTAAAGTGGCACATGCATGCAAAGGTAAGATCGCATCTTTTAAATAACGTTAACGTTTTTTCTTCTTTCAAAAATTGATCAATTCAGTTTCTTTTTTCATTACTATGAAGTTTCGTTTAGGCATTTTAAATCAGACAGACAAACTACCTGCTGCGAATTCAGGTTTCGGCATTTTCTTAATTGAAAATTGGTTAAGAAATAATTTAATGCAACTATGATTTTGAAACTAGAGGTCAAACTAGGATATGCAAAAAGTTCGTGTTTCGAGAGTAAGTTCGTATCCAGGGGTATCCAGTTCATAACATAGGATTTTAAAAAATTCGTGTCTCGAAATATTCAAATGTTGTGAACCGTTCGAAAGTTCGATGCGCCACCTGCAGCTTTAAAACTGTGCCCTGAGTGTGGTTAGCGCTTTAATTATTATGCTATATATTGCCTCTTAAACTCATTGTATTGTTTAGTATTATGTGTTTTGTTATTATGCATAGTTATTCTTAATTTTGTGAAACATTTAAGTTTGCACGGTTTCATACAACTTTAGCTATTAGCTACGATAACTACAAAAACAGTAAGACGATTTATTATCCGGCCGTAACTTCTAAGTAAAGGAAACAAACTCCGATGAAGGTTTAAAATAAACATCGTGAAGACTATCGGTTAATCTATCCGGTAACGTAAGAACGGTAACTTACTGTTAAAAGCTGAGCCAAATGGTTTCATTCAAATAGAAAGTAGCACGAGCCTGCTAAGTGTTTTGCTCATTCTTTCATGGACCAGTTACTGCTAGGAAAGTCGATTCAAGCAAGTCAAATCACTTGCAAAGAATCATCGCAGAGTAACATGACAGCGGTGACTGCTAATGAACGAGTTGTCGAAAGTGTAATTGGAAGTATAGGCAAAATAATTAATTAACTAGTTTTTAAAATAAACTCAATTTATAAATTAACCTAAAACCCTTCGAGTTCATAACGAAGAAAATGTTCAATAAGTCAAAATACTAAATTAATTAAAAGCAAACTTACCATTTTCCGTCCACAAATACGCCACAAGACCACTTTGCTGATAAGGTTAATATCTTTGTGATGATCTGATTCATCCGTATCATATTCCTGATGTACGTCACATGTGTTCACGCATGTCGTACATGTAATCACGATCGACCACAGCCACAACACTAGTGATACAGTTCTGATGATCGCAGTGATTAGGGAGTAGAAACAAGTAGTCCTGATGAAATTTGAGTAGAAAAAATTACATGGGGGTGAAACCCGAAGACTTGCGTGACTGTTGCATGAACGCATCCTCTCCCCATCCTGTGTTTCTTTGCGTTTTAATCGTTAAATTTGATTCAAAACCTTTCTCAAATAGTCTTTGTGATTCATTTGACTTCGACCGAGGTGCTCTCATAAGTGGTCTCAACTTTTTGACAGACATAATCATCACTTTTTATTCATTTTGCAGGGTATCAGCCAGCTTGATCATGCAAAATTCTCCCAATAAAGCATAGTTGTATCTGCAAAGACAAATAGATTGAGCGTGTGTGAGACATACTTAAATAAATCTGATGTATACACCACATGACTTCTTTGTACGGAATATTAAATTATGCGCATTTTTTCTTGCATTTTATTTAAACTTATTAAACTGAATTAAATCTATTTCGTCGGTAGCGCATAAACCACAATAGAATAAACGCACCCTTTAAAATTCACTATATTTGTTTACCATAGTGACACTCTTGCGCTAGGTTCAATTAACAGCGTTTATATTTCGTTCATATTATAACTCAGAATGCACAAAATTTATAGCATTTGAAGAATTATCTAATCGTTGCCACATGTTCTATTCAAATACTCTAATATATCTAGAACGATGTACAAAAGAAATTAAGCAAAAACAAAAAGTTTTTCACAGACGATTGAGTATTTCTCATTCAATTAATTCAGTTCCCACTTCGCGACAAGGTAAAAATACATAAAAACTGAAAATATCCATATTAAAAATTACGAAGTAAATCTTAAATACTTATTTCCTCGAATAAATTTCAGAATGGATTAAACATGATTTAATTCGCAATAATAAAAGAAAGCGTTATCTTTGTTGTTGCGAAGCTTAGTCTCTCTAGATTGGCAAAAAATCTACTATTCTGCTGTTTCACATGTAAACAAATATGTCCGCCATGTTATTAAAACTTAACCGCACATAAACAACTTTTAAATTGTTGATAATTGCACAAATATTGCTTGCAGATTTACTAAAGGCATAAAAACCTAAACTGGAAGATAAGAATAATATAATTCAATCATTTTTTAAAACAAAAAATGCACCATTTACAAACATATAAGAGTAAAGAAACTGAGATCACTCAGCCGGGTAACAGAGTGGATATATATATATATATATATATATATATAAATATATTTATATATAAATATATTTATATACGTTTGGTGCGGCCGATTGCAACCCAAATACGAGGTGCACCTCTACATGTTATAGCAGTCCTATATACAAAATTTCAACGTTCTGAGGCTACTCGTTTTTGAGTTATGCGAGATACGTACGTACATATGTTCGTACAGACGCCACGAAAAATTGTTTTTAGAATTCATTTTAAGGTAGTTTTATAATTTTTTTGAAGGAAAAGAGTCTTTTATTCTGTCTTTACGTGCAGATATCACGGAAAAACATCGTTAAATTGCATTCGATAGCGGTCAAAATGGATATTTTCGTTGAAATATGCTGCCTGAAGCTTTTCGCGATTACAGTACTTCCTTTTTACTTCGTACAAGGAAGTAAAAACTTGATAAGTTTACCTCTATTTCTATCGAATAAAATTTGGTATCTGTAATATATTTTATTTGTTATGCATTAATATTAAACTTATATTAGACTTGTATAATATTAACTTACATATATTTGTTTACTGCATACTTTTCATTGTCATTATTTTATATTTATTCACTTTTACCATGAGTTATACAATATTTTTTAAATTGCATTATGCAATGTGTCCACAAAACTCGTTATATGTCCTTTATTTCGTAGTCGTTGGCCGTAGACATGTGCTTATGTTTTACATTTCTAAATACAACTATAGGGATCTATAGTTGTGTTTGAATATAGTTGTATCTATAGTATAGAAAAAATGCATGCTGATTAAACAAAATAAAACACAAAATGTTTTAACGCCTACAAAAATTGACAAAGATGCTATGCCGATTACAAATTTCAAAATTGGGATTTTTAACTTTTTTTTTTTTTTTTTTTGCTGAAATGTTGATTAAAAATGAATGAGAACAATTCAAGGTTGATTTTTCTCCGTTTTAATGCCATTTAGTGGGCCAACTAGCGGCCGAGCGGTAAAAACCGCTGAACACTAGTAGTTCGGTCTGAGGCTCAAGTCCCAGCGAATTGGCTGACTGCATGGGCGTTTTCGTTGTTTTCCCCGAGTGCAGATCATTTCTTTGTAGCTGGTTTGCAACCACTAGGAGTTTTAACCAGTATTTTAACTTATTATACCATTGGCCATTTTCTTGTTTGTTTTATCAAAAAGATGCACCTTTGTACATTTCACCCGAGGGGGAAATGAAAGATCATGAATTTGTTATTTGAAGAACTGCAATTGCATGGCATAGGATAATGATGATGACCGTCGGGAGACTAGAAGAGTGCGAAAGCTGAGGGGTGAAGGATAAGCAGTCTTTTGAGATCACGTGATGAAGTTAAAGAGTTCCTATTGGTCCCTTGACTACGGTGATAGTTGAGCACAAAATACGATGAGAGTTTACATTCTTGAACAAGTAAGCTTTACATTATGTTACAGTAACATGAAAAACCTATGGTAAAAGAAGCAAAATCCATATATATTTACTGTGTATATACGAGTCAGTTTCCCTTAAAAAGACCTCCACGGGGCATCCCTCACTTTCCGTGGAGTGCCTAGAGGCCGAGCATGTAAAAAAAAATTGTCATTCAGCGATACATTTTGTGATTCAGTATTGTTCCAACGTTCTCTAATTTAGAATTCTTTTATGTAGAGTTTGTCGAAACAAATTTCAGAGAATAATTTATGAATTTCCAAACGCTAAAAGTACGTTATTAATACTGCCATGCAGTTTTCCTACATCAAATCACAATATAATAATCGTGCAAAAATTTCAACAAATTAGATATATATATTCATCACTCTTATTTACGCCACACTGTGGCAATATTGTTGCTATTTTCTAGAACACGAATTCTGTAAGGAAGATTTACACTGATTTTCTGAAATGATTTATGCTGATCCATTCCTTTTACGTTAATCGGCACACTAGTGCTCATCGCGTGATTTCTTGATAACGAAATCCTAGGCTGATCTTTTATATTTTGTTGCGTAGAAATGATAGCTCTTCAGTGTGGATCTCAAACTCGAAAATGAAATCTATCTGTCAATTTTTGTTGTACGAATGCCAAATGTTTTGTGTTTTACTTTTTGGAATGAATGTGTAAGATAGATCGATAAACTTTAAAAAAGTGGTAGATTTCTTAATTTTTGAATCATTTATATGTTAAATTTAATGAGATATGTTAATGAGATATGTTGCAGAATTGATGTTTGAATATTTGTGATATTTAAAACATTCCATAGTCAAGAATACATTTAAAATTCTAACTGTATGTTCTTTTTCATTTTTAATGGCGATGGTCTCTTATTTGAATGTACGTGGAATTAAATCCACAGCCCCGTAGTCAAGTTGTTTTTCCCGCCTTTTCTACACGTACAGTTATAGAATGTTCTGTAAATATTCAAAGCGAACTGGATTGGCTGACGAGGCTGACGTCATTCTTGGAAGCTCCGCCTTTCCAGAGGCTATAAAAGGACTCGCAAAGGAATATCGGGGGCTTTTTCTTAAATGTCACGATGCAGTAAACTTCATACAAAAAATTATTAGTAATTCTTTTTATTTTACTGTAACGGATATAATATGGCTTTTTTGTAACTTTTTCTCCTGACTAATAATAACTCCCTGTTTTCTTTTTTTTTTTTTAAAACTATACGTCTGATAATTTAAGCTACGACTAAAGCTGGTACATCATATATATATAATATAAACAAATTTAAATTCTTAACAAATACGTATAAAAGTAAAAAAAAGTAAAAAAGCAAATTTAAATTCTAAAAAAAACGAAAAAAAAGCCAATAATTTAAAAAATAATTTAAAAAATATGCAAACATGTAAAAGATTTAATTCTCGAACTAATCTACAATATCATTTTAAATTCAGAAGTATAAGCAAATCAAGTGCAAAATCTATCCATGAAAATAAATCTACTAATTTAATAAATTAAAATTAAATTAAACAATTTTTTAAAAAAAAAAAAATGCATATGTAGCAGCATATGATCGTAGAGTAGGGGCAGGAGACAGACTTATCAAGGGGGACGTTGCTCCAAAACCTAACTCTCCAATCATTCAATTCGTGTTTCGTCATTCATGCAGCAAGGGTAAAAGTCAAACCAAAAAGTAATTCCAATAAAGTGGTATCCTTAGAAAATTACATTTAAGTATTAACATTTTAAGAATTAAAGTTCAAAAAAAGGAAAATACTAATTAAGTCTTTTGAGAAACAACAAGCAAGTAAAGTCAAGAATTAACTTTTTCTTAAAAAATTTAATTTTTTTTTAAAAATTAATTTTTTATAAAATAATAAAAAAATTTAAAAAATCTAGAAACCAATGTATTTAGGAAATCCTTGTCTACAGAAACTTCCACTACACGAATATGCATATCAATAAAAAGAAACTATAAAAGAACTATACATAATCCATATAAAACCAATAAGAAATAAGAAACAAAAAAGAACTAATTCACAATTTTTAAAATAAAATATATATTTAAAAAATATAATTCATATTTAGAAAATACTTAGATACAACATAAAAAAAAATTTTTAAAAAAATACTTAAGTAAATAGTAAGTTTTAATTCTAACTTACCTACTATATGAGTGTTGGGGTCTGCAAAAAGTGTGTGAAAGAGAAGTAAGGTGTTCTTCAAATTATATAGATAGCGCTTATGTAGGTAAAGTTGAGTGTCAAGCTGCTATCTTTGCTATAGTAAAAAAAAAAATTTTTTGTAAATATTAATATTAATATTAATTAAATTAAATTAAAATCCTAAAGGTAGTAATATCAATTATTTAGGGAGTTAAGTAACTGAGCCAATCAAGAGATGTATGTTTTTGCTTGAAGGAAATTAAAGTGAAGTGGTATGTGGAAAAAAATGTAAAACTGTTTGTAATTTGAAATGTGTGTTCTGTTGAAAAATTGTGAAAAATTGTTAAAAAATTTTAAGTGAAAGATATTTTTTGTGAAAATTGCAAAAAAATTAAAGTAATTAAGAAAAACTGAAATGTTTTCAATATTAAAGTTTTAAAGTAAATTTCCCAAAATTTTTTTGAAATGAAGTCCTTAAAAACCTCTAAAAATTCCCAGAAATTTCTCAAATATTCCTTTAGGAAGTTAAATAAAACTTAAATTTGATGAAAGAAAATATTAAAAGTTTAATGAACTTGATTTAATTGGTATATCAAAACTTAACTAAATACTGACTAAGTATGGAAAATTAGAAGAGAAGATTAAAATCTTCACTCAGTTCGGCTATAATTGAGACTTTTGAAAAGAGTTGGCCCTTTATTAGTAAAGGAAAGAATCCAGTATTGATTAAATATACATATTTACAAAATATTTACAATAAAATTTACAATAATTTCTCTAGTCTTTTATATCCTTCATTACCCTCCAGTTGAGGTTTAAGGTAATGTTATCATATCCAAAAAGAGCCAAAAAATTATAAAAGTAAAGTCAAGGCCTGCCTTTTTTATATATAAAATTAATAAATTTTAGTGGTACTTGGTTATCAACTTGTACATTAATTAGTTTTATGATTTCTTCCTTTAAATCGTCATTTTCAGTACATATATTTTTTATTCTGATAATTTGGCTATGAAACGTGTTTTCTATTACTTTTCTAAAGATATTATTCCAATTAATTAGTTTAATAGTAGGAAAATGGAAATAAATTATATATATATATATGCGTACGCCTTACGGTTGCGAAAAGAGGCCACAAAAAGAATTTTGCGGACATGTAGTACATTTCAGTTAAACATGAATATTAAATTTTGAAATTTAAATAAATCTACCAGCGAAAGCTAAATTTTCAGTCCAACGGGGCTTTGTCCCTGAAGGACTATTGTTTTCGTTTTGCGATTTTGCCTTGGTTCACTATAAATGTCCGTTTCACTTTTCAAACTGTTGCCACCGAATGTTAGAGTCCTGCATTATATTTGAAGAAATTAAATAATGAAAAATCTGCATTAATGTATGTACGTTTCTTGCATTGTGATCAAACAACGGTACCTGGAGCCATCCAATTTTGAATGACGCAATCCTCCAACGAATATGAGCATGTGGAAGACCAAATTTGAAATTTGAAATTTGTTTTATGATCGATTTCCTATTTTTTAAAACTTTGACGAATTTTTGATTAACAAACTCAAGGATTTCAAAGCGGGCCATAACAACGTTGTACAGAAAAAAAACATGTTTATCTCCAGCGCGTGAGAATGCGTATCGGAAATTCTAAAGATATGATAACTTTAAAACTATTTTGCGATATTGCTCTTGAACTGAATTTTATGGTTTAAGTGCGAAGAACATGACATTTAATAAATAAAGGTAACAGCAAAATGTTAAAAAACGCCCCCTTTGGACGTAATTTAAAATCTGAAACCTTTCAAATTTTTATATTTAGTTATTTATTTATTTATTTTAGATATTAAAAATTTAGCCGAACAGCTGATCGGTTACTGTTTTTCTTAGCACGCTTCTAAAGACGACAAATCCTCCCCCCCCCACCTTAGTTAACGTGTAGAACTTCGAGGGCTTCTTACTTCCTACGAAAAGAGGAAGAAAGTTAAGAAACACAACATTTTCTATATTACATCCCCAGATCCTAATTATTTAATTCATTTACCAGTTAAAATAGAAATACTTCCGTTTTCCTTTTCATGTTTATTGATTAGGTTTAAATTTCTTAGGCTTCAGTTTATTTCTTGGCTACTTTATCGAAGAAAAGTTCCGCGTTCTGTTTTCATTTTATTTGAATAAAAATCACTTCAAGGAATACCTTAGATGCGAACTGCTTATCCTTGCATCTCACTTTAATTTCCGTTTCTGAGGTTCTTATAATACCGTAGATCAGGGGGGTTCTCAACTTTTTTTCCCCACGCACCCCTTTCACCATTGCTAGACCATCATAATCCCTTCCTTCTTTACAAAGCCCACCAGCGGCAGAGCGGTAAAGACGCTGAACACTGGTAGTTCGGTCCGAGGTTTGAATCCCGCGAACGGGCCGGCTGCATGGGCGTTCGTGGTTTTCACCATGTGTAACGTGTATACGATCCATTTTCCCTTAGAAAGTCCTCCCTTTAGGCAAATAGCCCTCGTGTGCTTTGCCGTAATTAAATAATCCAATCCGATCCTTCTTTACAAAACTCGAAAAATGCATATTATTTATTTGAATTTAGACCACATTTTAATGTATTTTATAAATTAAACAAAAAGGTATAGAAAATATTGATAATTACCAAAAGTTCAAAATAGATTTTCCTAAACCAAAACTGAATATTTAACAGGTAAATAAAAGGCTGACGACAATCTTCCCCCCCCCCGAACTATGAAATTTCTTCCCTGATTGAAAACCTCTGTCGTACATCTCTTAACACAGTAGTTCTGAACCTCTTTTGTTCCATCCACTCCCTTCACCATTGCCAAACGATGTTTTCCCCTCCCTCCTTTCTAAAACTCGAAAAAATGCATACATATTCATTTCAATTTAGACCATGTTTTAATGCAATTTATAAATTAAATAATTAAAAAAACTGAAGCTTTCAGATTTTACATTAGCCCAAAGGCGCTTTTTTTAATCTTTTGTGTGTTATCTTTATTTTGTATATGTCATGTTCTTCGCACTTAGACCATAAAATTCAATTCGACAGCAATATCGCAAAATAATTTTAAAATGAGCATATCTTTAGAATTTTCGATACAAAGTCTCGCACGCTGGAGATAAGATTTTTTTTTTTCCCCCATACTGTTTTGCCATTGCTGGTTTTGAAATTGTTGAGTTTGTTAATCAAAAATTCGTTAAAGTTTTACAAAATATGAAATAGATAATAAAACAAATTTCAAATTCCAAATTATGGCTTCCAGATGCCCATATTCGGTAGAAGATTACGTTATTCAAAATGGGATGGCTCTAATACCGTCATTTTATCACAATGCGAGTAAGATGCTTAGATTTATGCAGATTCTTCATTATTTAATTTCTTTAAATATAACACAGGCCCCCCCCGGGGTTGAGAACCCCTGTCGTAAATGTCTTGATACAGTATTCTGAACCCTTTTTGTTCCATCCACTCCTTTCACCATTGCCAAACGATCATTTTCCCTCCCTCCTTTTCCAAAACTTGAAAAATGTACATACTTTTATTTAAATTTAAATTATTTTTAGCGTTTATTATAAATTAAATAAGGAAACGTGTACAAAATGTTGGTACGCACCAAAACCTGAATAAACGTAATTTTTTCATATTCATAAATATAGTTAACATGTATATAAAAGGCTAGCCGCATTCCCCACTGGGAGGAATTCTCCTCTGGTTGAAAACTCCTGTGTTACTATCAATAAAGAATCCTAAATTTATTGAACTCAAATTATTTTATTTAACTACAAAAATAATTACAGATTGCACGAGCAATAAAATTTTATACATTAGTTTAAATTACCATTTGAACGACTAATATTACTGAAAGCTCGGAATTAAAATTTATCTCGTAATTTCGTTAAAATTACTCATTAATTATTCATTTTGAATCTGTTTATTAGATGAGCTGGACTGCTAGATTTTACTTGATCTCCCGCTGAACAGGCACTGTGTGGTACCTTAGGGCAGAAGCCTGCTCAGTGTGATAAATAAATTTAAATATTAAATTGTTATTTCTGGCATGCTTGGTAAATATATTGTTATTATTATTTTGTATTGCAGTACTAAAATGGAAGCAACGATTGATTACTTTTTTAGAAAAATGCAATTAACAATTGCTGATCTTATTCCGTTATGATATTTACTAACAAGTTTCGTATTTAAAACGTGGTTTTAGCTATAAAATAATAGCTTATTCTTGTTTCATTTCTGACAATTTATTTATTATTTTCAGAAAGAAAAAATGGCACGCCTACGCATAAAGGCAGTTCTGGAGAATAAAAGCTCTAAAGAAATGAACAATGTTGAAGACTACATTGAAATTCTGGAACTAATTCGAGAAAGCAACGTAGATGCAACGAGTTTCATATCTAGATACAATACGTGGTCTAGCAACTTTCATATTACTTTAGAAAATACCAATTCAGCTAAAGAAAATAGTCTGAAGTCAGTACACCCATCATACTTTATGCGCTTCCTAGCTACAGCTTTCTTTACTTTATGCCTTTTAGAAAGTGTCCGGTGCAAAAATCAAATCTGCTTTGACACTGCTTTGACGTTTTGTATTATTTTACTTATCATGAACTTTATTTCATCCTTCATATTATATTTTTCTGCGTCACCCAACCAGTTGGTTAAAACTATGATTCTTTTTTCAAATGCTATGAAGACAATGTTTAGTGACTTTAAATTCAGATTAAATCGTGCTGGAAGAAAATTCGATTTCTCACCCCGCCCAAGTGCTCTCTTCATTGTAAGCAACTTCCTAACACCTCTTTCATTACTACATTGGATTCTTACTCCTTTGTCCAGCTTGAGTGAATGGTACTTATTACATGGTAGCTTATTTTCTGCTAGCATATCAATAATTTTTTATGTTCTAGATTATGAAACTGCACCAGAAAGAACTCAGATAGAAATAACTGCGTGTTCATTATTACTGCTGCTTGCTTTATTGCAGGACAGGAAAGTTCAGAATATTCTTACAGAGATTAAATTACAAGTAACATTTCTAGAATCGGAATGCATGGATTTTTTGCTATGGTTTGAAGAGAAGTGTTCTTTAAAGCGGCTCCTGGAGGAATCGGGATTTTATAAAGCAGAAATGCTGGAATTATTTAACCATGAAACAGAACGTAGATCTGTTCTGGAAAAACCTCTCCTGAGCTTCGTCACATTTTTTGTAGCTGCCGAAAGCTGCTTCCCCGCACATCTGCATTTTTCGAATTTAAGTAATGTTGTGAGTTTCATTTTATACGGCACATGTAATCCAAATGTGAATTCTTTTATAAATATTGTGTCCGTGTCGAATAAAGGTGCATCAGACTCTAAAACTCCAAAGATACATTCTCTGGATTCTTCGAATGTGCCACAACAAGAAACTTTCCTTGAAGCAAATGTCCCACAGGAATGTTCATTGTTTCAAGTTCCCTTAGATACACACGAAAAACCTGATCAGAAAAATGGTAATGAAATGTTTTCTACATTTGTCACATCTTCACCTGAGGTTTCTCTTGACGATGAACTTTCTTCCACAGATGTTAAGAACCAGTTTTCTTGTAGTAGTAAAAATGAGATTTTGAATGATGAATCAGGAATCGATGAATCTGAAGACTACAGAAAAATCCCACCAGTTCAAGGAAACCAGAGTTTCACAAATAATGTAAATTTATTAAATTCTGGTATTACATTTCCGACAAATAATGAATGTGAGAAATGTGTGTTTCCAAAAGCTGATATTTTCCCTTGTACTTCAGCATCGAACCAAGATGACAAGGAATGCAAAAAATATGAAGAGAATGTATTGCTTTCAAATCTAAATTCTAGTTTTTCGTTTCTTCAGGAAGAAACCCTTGGTATTTTAAACACGAAAAATGGTGGAATTTCTTCCCAATCTAATGCCGGCGGGAGAATAGAAATTGACGAATCACTGAAAGATGAACAAACCTGTCAACCGTTTGTGAAAGAAATAACGCGCGATACACAACCTTTACCTTCTCATTCAGCCGCAAATCATGAAGACTCTACTGACTTGGGAGATCTTCAGATTTCTCAGTGTAAAAATCAGGCAGAAATCAAAAAAGATTCAGCTACGAAATATAGATCCGAAGTTCCTGTTGCGCCAGATTACAAACTGCAGGGTCAGAATGCTTCGCAGCCTGAAGATATGCCTGGAAATGCATCAATTGTTTCTGAAAAAATTCAAGCCAATGATTCTTTCTTGCTCAGTTGTTCAGCGCTTTCTCAGCAGTCAGAAGAGGATATAAAAAATTCTGATTTAGTAAATGGCGGAAGCCAGGTATTTACAGTGCGAAATGGAAATCAATCCTATATCGTCAGTGATGAACCAATTACCAATGAAAATGGGCAAAATATAGAGACTGGAGCATTAAATCATAATGAACATTTGCAAAATGAGGAAACTTCTGAACTTCAAATACAACATTTTGCAGTTCCGCATGAATCAGAAGAGTATATAAACCATTCAGGCGCAGTATGTGAGGGAGAAGAGTTTATTGTAGAAAAGCTTCAATATCAACTTGATATCTTAAAAGATGTATTGGAATCAATAAACGGTATTGTAGATAGCATTATAGAAATGCAGGAATTTACATGGAACGACGATACTTTTGAATCTAAGATGAAACAGTCTGCGCTTTTTCGAGTTGTTGAGACAGAAAAATATTCAAATATTTCTGAAGGAGGAAATGACTATAGAAGTTATTTGGGCACTATGAATGGAATATTACAAAAATCACACACATCAATCAATGAATCGGTGAAACACATCATCAGTGAAACTCCAGACAGACCGAAAGTCGAAGATTTCAGTCCTGATGAATGTTTGCAAAGTGATGAAGCTTCAAAATTGGGAACAAGTAAGGCAGGACGCAGGCAGTATCCTATAAAATCCGTAACACAAGCTGAGTGCGAAGAGACAAGAGAATTTGAAAGTATTTCTGCGAATGTTACACCTAATGATGGAATTAAGCAAGAACTGAACTGTGATAACGATCTAAAAATGAAAATTTCGGATAATAAAGAAATTCTTAATATCACCTTGAACAATGAAAGTGCTCATCTCAAATATAATGGAAGAACGTGTGATTCAGAAATAAAGATGAAGGATTCATGTCATCTGAAACATGAGAGTAGCACTTCAGATGTGCTGGCATTTGATGCAGTAAATGGAGATATAATGCGTAACATTGAAATAGATGGTAAGAAAGCTTTGGAGGACGGTTCAACTACAACGTTCTCATCAGATAATGAGGTTGATGCACCGTCAGAAAAGAAAACTTCAGACAGATTTACTTCAGATGAAAACACCATTGACAATATTAATCCAAAAATAACAGAGAATCTTGTGTCTTCGACGGTAAAACTATGTCCAGACGATCAAGTAAATCATGAAATTAGAAACCAATCCACTATCTCAGAAAATAAGGCTGAATTCGACTGCCTAGTGAACGGAATGGAAACGCCCGATTTTGATGAGAGCAAACTCAATCAGAATGAGCAGAGTTCAAAAGGGCAAGTTATACAAAACTGCGTTAGTGAAGATCAAACCTCAGTCCCTGTTGCGGAAGTTGAAAATCAAATGAATGTTTTATCCAAATCTGCGTCTGATTTTAATCAAGAAACCTCGTATAAAAGTGCAAACTCCTTTCATAAACAAGCCAATAGTGGTGAATCTGTTCAATGTAATGAATCTTCATTCTCAGATTTTAATAATCAAAATGAAAATAATAGCAGCAGACAAATGCGATGTATTATGAAAAACTTTTTTGATAATTTACATACAGCAAGTAAAGAGACGGAAGTTAATGTGAAACATAGTCACGCTTTAAATTCGGAACTGTGTTCTTATTATGCACTGATAGATGAATTTATGAAACGTAATCAGAAACCTGATATATCTAGAAATACAAAAACATATATAAATAGTGGTAATAGTAAGAATGTACATACCCAGGAAATTTCAAACAAAAAAGAACACAAAGGAATGGATTTGCGGCAGATTCGCCGTCCATTCGTTTTCGGAAATTATGTCATTGAGCAAAATACAGATGGAGTTTTGAAACTCGATCAGAAATATAATGCATCTGTAAATTCGTCAATATATGTAAACAATAATTACAATGGAGCTGAGCATAAAGGAGGAATTTCAAATAGAAATGAAAGTGACAGAAATGGTTTGCAACATATGTTTCGTCATTTCAATTTCGAACAGGAGGATGAACAGGGAAACAGACATCGAACTGCTCCAATTGCAGCAGTGGTTGCAACTAGTACTAATAATCATGGGAATGAACTTAAAACGGAAATTTCCAATAAAAATGTTGAAAATAATTTACTAAAAACTCGTCCTCCTTTCGTTTCTGGACAACAGTTTAAAGAGAAAAAAACAGATGAAATTGCAACAAATCCAGCAGTGCACGTAAGTAATAGTAACGATGAGGAAAGGAATAAGCAGGAAATTTCGAATAAAGATGAAAATGACGGAGTTATTTTGCAACAGATTCGTCCTTTCATTTTTGGGCAAGAAGCCAGAGCGAGAAAAACAGATGCATTTCTGAAACATAATCAGAAATATAACAGGTCTACAAATACAGCACTATATCTAAACAGTACTAATAATGCAGATGAGAAACAACAGGAAATTTCGCATAAAAAGGAAAATGTCAAAGTTGCAAATGTTTCGCTTCAGACAGGAAATAAGTGTGATAGCCCTACTGAAGCTACGAAAAAAGTATCTAAGTGCAGGAAAAAACTGAAAGCTAAGAGATATTACAAAAATGAATCTATTTCTAAAAGTGAAGGAAATTTTAATTTTGGAATGACAGATTGCCCATTACTTGAAGACAGTGGCCGAAATGATGAAAAACTTTCGGTTCCTCATTGTTCCATGACAGCCAGTTTAACGGAAGAGAAATCTGACCATTTACTTCCCAGAAAGTTTAATGAAACATGTCAAAATACATCTCAAGAACCTGATAGTCGTTCCGATATAAGTGACCGTAATGCCGTTTTCGAATTGAAGAAAACCGAACTTCAAGTCGAAAGCGAAAAAAGAGATACTGAAATACAGTCCAGTCGAAAATCAAGTCCAAAGAAACGATGTCGAAATTACTATAATTCAGCGACAGAAGATGATGAAAAAGATGGCGACAAAGTAGAGAATAAACAGGTGCCACCAGTACCACTGAAAGAAACACGTTTGGAAAGGACTTTAATACTGGTAAGAAATATTTTAAATGCTTCAAAAACAAGAAAGTGTACCGTCTTTCAACATAAAGTTTACACTCCTATAAAGGACTGTTTGCTGAATAATCGAATAACGAAGAATAGTTTAATACGAGAGTTTAACAGAAACGAAAATTGTAACGTATTTTTAAGAAAAAATACCGATCAGAAGATAATTGAAAGCGTAGAAAACGTGCCATTTTGCGTCAAAAACAGCGAGTCGTCAGAACAAGTGAGTGATAAAGACTTCGCGAATCAAACATCATCTGAAAATGCAGAATGTCCAACCGTTTCCAGAAGGCAAGGAAATAGACGGAAAAATAAAAAGCTCCCTATTGTCTGCAAAAGTGTGGAAGATACATCAGTTACGTTAAAGAATGAACAGGTAAGTTTGCTCGAATAAGATTTTTCCGGTATTTTACCTTCCGAGCACTTTTATTACGAGTCCAATTTACTAAAAATATTATGCTAAAATCGAGGTTTTTAAGTGTTGATTTACCATTATAAGAATTAATTCAGCTTCGGAAATTTCTGTAGCACCATCGGAACATTAGGGTGTTTGCTTTCTTTAATTGCAGAGATCTTTGCATTTGCACTCTCGAACATTCTTATTCTGCTCTCCATTATCTCTTTTTGTAAAGTTTAGAAGTTATTTGTTTGTTAGTTACTCGTAAGAAATACGTTTACACTTATGGAAAATATATGTAATGAATATTTTGTTTCTTATAAATGAACGAAATTAATGTAATAAAAATTTGTTTCTTTTCTTATAAAAACTCTTTTCATTTTTTTTTCATTTTAAACGCCATTTATTTGTACGATATAACATAAATGATGCTGCCTTGTTCAGAATGTAAACGTTGCAAATATAGTAGAACTCCAATTATCCTAATCGGTTAATCTTTGGAATATGGTAACAGGTAGTTTGGCGACATTTTGGTACTTTAAAGTAGCCGTTACATGCTGTAAAGTAGAGGTCTTCAACCTTTCACGCCCGAGGGTGACATCAATAAATTCATAAAGATCCGCGGACCACATGTCTGTCAAAAAATAGTGTAGTCAAAAAATTTATATAAAAAAGGAAGATTTGTTTTGCAAGACTACAATTGATTCTAAGCGAAGAGATGGTGTTACAGATTTGTATATATAACACTTGGCTCCAAAACGTTAAATGGAAATCGAATTAAAATGTTTTGCAACTTTTTTTTAACTACGAAAAAAAAGTAAAGATTATTGTACAGAATGATGTTACAAAATGCATTTACAATAAAAAAAATCTGATGTGCACACCACGACTTCCTAGTACGGAATATTAAATTATACGCATTTTTTCTTGCATTACGTTTAAACTTGATTGAATTAAACTAGATTGAATTAAACCTACTTCGCCGACACCGCATAAACCACAATAGAATAAATCTATTCTTTAAAATTCTCTTTGTTTACCATAGCGACACTCTGGCGCTAGGTTCACTTAACAGTATTTATTTCGTTCATATTATAACTCAGAATGCACAAAGTTTATATCATTTAGAGAATTATCTAATCGTTGCCACATATTCTATTCAAATACTATAATAAAGCTAAAATGATGTATAAAAGAAATTAAGAAAACAAAACAAAAAAGAAACAGTTTTTCACGGACGATTGAGTATTTCTCATTCAATTAATTCAGTTCTCACTTCGCGAGAAGGCAAAAATACATAAAAACTCAAAATATCTATATTTAAAATTACGAAGTAAATCTTAAACACTTATTTCCTCGAAAAAATTCCAGAAAGGATTAAGCATGATTTAATTGGCAATAATAAATGAAGGCGTTATCTTTGTTGTTGCGAAGCTATGTTTCTCTAGATTGGCAACAAATCCACTGGTCTGCTGTTTCAAATGTAAACAATCAATGGCCGCCATCTTAAAAAAGGCTTAACACTTAGACAACTTTAAAATTGTTGATAATTCTAAGAATATTGCATACAGATTTACTAAAGGCACAAAACCCTTAACCGGAAGATAAAAACAACATAATTCAATCATTTTTAAAGCAAAAAATGTACAAGTTACAAACATATAAGAGTAAAGAAACTGAGATCACTGAGCCGGGTGACAAAGTGGATATATATATATAATAAATATATTTATATACGTTTGGTGCGGCCGATTGAAACCAAAATACGAGGTGCACATCTACATGTTATAGCAGTCCTATATACAAAATTTCAACGTTCTGGGGCTACTCGTTTTTGAGTTATGCGAGGTAGGTAGGTACGTACGTACGTTCGTACAGACGCCACGAAAATTCTCTTCAGAATTCATTTTAAAGCAGTTTTATAATTTTTTTGGAGGAAAAGAGTCTTTTATTCTGTCCTTACGTACAGATATCACGCAAAAACATCGTTAAATTGCATTCGATAGCGGTCAAAATGGATATTTTCGTTGAAATATGCTGCCTGAAACTTTTCGCGATTACAATACTTCCTTTTTACTTCGTACAAGGAAGTAAAAAGGAAAAAAAAGAAAAACTTACATTGCTGGGAGATATTAATTACTTTAGTTTTAATCTGTGTTGTTGCAATTCGTTAAGTTTCCTCCAAATTGTCTGTCAGCCGTGTTCTTGTTTTCGATTTTAGGATTTTCACTTTACTAAAAAGCTGTTCACATATGTAGGTACTGCCAAAGATAGAAGACATGAAGAGTGCATGTTTACGAATTCCTGCAGTCTTTGGTCACGTATATCGAATAAAAATCTATTAATATAGGATTTTCAAGAAACTTGCATTTTACTGCAGAATCACACTGCAAATCTATAAATTCTAATTGAAGTTCAGGTGGAACACTTCCAACGTCTAGTGAAAAGGCCAAGGAGAATATTCTCATAAAAATTTCATTTTCACGAAAATGGGGAAAATATGCTTTTGAATTCCTCTTTCAAATTTAAAATGCATTCTACATAATTATTTGAATTGCATGTTGTAGACTTCTTCACACCATCAGTTTTGGAAAGTGAGTGGAACTCTTATTTAGCAACTGAATCCCCCACAGGATTAATTTTGTCTCAAAAGCTTTCACAAAGCAATAAAGATTATGAATAAGTAGATGTTTTCCCAGTAAATTTTAAATTTGAAAGAGGAATTCAAAAGCATATTTTCCCATTTTCGTGAAAATGAAATTTTTATGAGAATATTCTCCTTGGCCTTTTCACTAGACGTTGGAAGTGTTCCACCTGAACTTCAATTAGAATTTATAGATTTGCAGTTGTGATTCTGCAGTAAAATGCAAGTTTCTTGAAAATCCTACATTAATTGATTTTTATTCGATATACGTGACCAAAGACTCCAGGAATTCGTAAACATGCACTTTTCATGTCTTCTATCTTTGGCAGTACCTACATATGTGAACAGCTTTTTAGTAAAGTGAAAATCCTAAAATCGAAAACAAGAACACGGCTGACAGACATTTGGAGGAAACTTTACTGCAAAAACACAGATTAAAACTAAAGTAATTAATATCTCCCAGCAATTGCATCTCTATCGGTCATTACTTCAATTTTAGTGCTTTTGGTGAAATTTTGATTTTAGTAACAGCTTGTACAGACTCTATATTGTGTGATAAGATTAGTGTTTCATTGTTTTCGCACTCTTTTCTTAACAAGAATTGAGAATTTTCTCTCTTGGAGATAGTCTAAATTACGGAAGAAGTACTGCTACCAAGGTAGGACTTTTTACTCTTTCGTCCCCGCTTCTCATTCTCCTTGCTTCTGTAATTGATTAATTATACCACAGGCATTGCATAGTTTAATAACAAACAGAGTTGACTTAATATATATTCGGCCTAACATTTTTCATTTCATTTTACCAATGTTTTTAATAAGTTACATTCTTATATTAGTTACTTTTTTCATTTATTGCACTGAATAGAATTTATTTGTTCTTAACATTCTATTATTATTATTTTGTACTTGTTTTTTGTTATATATTTTATATTTAACTCTGATTAGTAATTAATACTGGTCTTAAATCTGATTAGTAATTAATACTGGTATTATTCATCGTAAAAAAAAAAAAAAAAAAAAAAAAAAAAAAATTGGCTCTCTATGTATAGAAAGCATTTCCATTCAATTATTCTCTGTACTACGACATTTCTCAGGAGTGTGTGCAACTTATCACAGTATAACTGTTCACAATTTATAATAGAAAATTCCCTCATAGTCAGCTTCCAGCATGGCTCAAACTACACGTCCTTCGAGCCCAGTGTCCGTCAACTCGGAAAGTATGCTTTTACCACCGAAAAAACAGCAACAGTACGCCAAGAACCGCATATAAGAGCCGTAAATCTTTATCATGCATGTCTAGATCTAGCCAGTACTAGACGAGGCGGGAAACACGCATCATCCCACCCAGGAATGTTCACAAAGCTTAAAAAGATGCTCGATGAGCTCAGAGATATTGCTACAAGTAATGGGATCAGTAACGTAAGCGACGTTCCGTTTCCGATAGGTATTCCGCATCCCTCCCACGCCGTCACATGTCAGTGCGATGATTCCACCACAGACTTAATTAATACAGAAACAATGCCGTCATTATTAGAGGATAATAATGTTCCTAAAATTTCATATGCTGATGCTGTAGCAAAGGTACCAAGGAAAACATAACCCAACTATTTTGCTATACCCAAAGCAAGAGCTAAAATGCCATATTACAGAGAAACTAAATCAGATCCTTCCCCTCAAAGAAATAAATGCCAAAATTGATTATATAGCAAATATTAAGAATGGAGGCATCGCGATCAGCAGCACTTCAAAGGAAGAACTCAACTAGATTACTAACGCCATAAACGTTTCCGAAGAAGCAAATAACTTAATAGAAATAAAAACATCAAGGGTTAAAAAACCGAAAATCTCAATCAATATTATCTCGAATACATTACCACCAAAATTAGTTCTCGAAGAACTAGTTGATCAACTAAGGATTGATAAAGAGGAGATTTCACCTCTCTTTTACACAAAAGGCAAAACCCCCAACACCATGAAGTGGGTTCTCGAATGCTTCCCTCGTACTCTATCAAAATGTATTGAACGTAGGAAAATTATAATTAATTGGAGCATTCTCCCAATCGCAGAATTCTACGGAGTGAGAGAGATGCTACAGATGCCAAGATTTCTCACATTCTGGTAGTGCATGCAAATTATAGGACTTATTGCGCTTTCTGTGGCGGACCTCACTCCATAAGGAATTGCAAAGAAGACGTACCGGATTGTATCAACTGTAAACTGTTCAATTGCACATACGGAACCTACATCAATACTTCACATGCTGCATTCTCCTCCAAATGCCCATTATATGAGGGAAATCTCAAAAATTAAAGCTGCTGCAGTTTACACATCAAAGT